TCATGGTTTTTCAAAGTAGAGCGGACACTTTTCATCAGATTCTTCACGTCTCTGTCACGCACATGTGACCAGCTTGAAGTGGCTGCTCGTGGTCCTCTTGGATTGTTTATTCTTGATATGGTCGGAGCAGTTTTGACTGGAGTTATTCACCAGGTGCTAAAGTATTCTCGTCAAATTTCTTTTCCATGCTTGATTTTTTTCCCTTCATACATCCCTTTACTTTTCTTTTTCTCTTATTGATCTATTTGCCCTGTGGATTATGCAAGTTTCTCATAGGATCGATTTTCTGTGATACTGAGTGGCGAATCGAAGTTGGTCGATGAAATGAATTCGAGTAATTGTGAGGATATGAAAAAGGTTTTCACTCTAGCTATAGAGAGAGCAGCAGCTAAGGTAGGTTCCTATTTTCAATTCGTTCTGCTGGTTAGTTGACCTATAAGGATAAAATTGTTGGTCAAAATGTGCATTCTACCAAAACATAGGTGCTAGTTGTCATCGTCATAAGTTTCTGAATCCACCTTTTCGGTATTTTTGAAGACTTCGATGGGTTATGTGACGGAGTTTTTTTTTAATTCCTGAAATGCTCTTGTTTTTTGTTCAGGAGGAAGACGGCATGGTTTTGGATGAAAGTGGAATTGTAAATGGGCCAGCTCATAGTCACATGCCAACAAGGGCAGAATTGGTAAGTTTTACGTTTACAGCCAGGGTCTGATGCTTGACAAGTTCAGTTGGCTGCCAACAGCACAGGTGGAAGGAAGGCTGAGCTGTTGTATAGCGTGGGAAAGAAGGGAAAATGTCCCTCGTTCCTCTTTGATGCCCTTACCTCCAGTCCCGACTTAGTTGCTCTTGCTCCTGGTCTCAGTTTCCTAACTTTCGTTTTTGCAGATAGTGAAAAAGTGGAGTTCTGTTATGGACACCTTTTTGAACGAAGTCGTCTGCAGTGATGTCCCGAGCAGTGAGTCTTTCCCTGGCTTGCCAGGTGCTTTTGCTCCACCTTTCCCGTTCGAACCTGACTAAACATTATTGTTGAGGTTCGACTTCGACGTCGACGAACACATTCGATGGAAATTTTGTTTCTGGATTGATCTCTTCCACCCTTCGCCATGTTGTTCAGCAGCGTCTTAAGATTGCAAAGAGTTTGTTAGCCGTGATACAACTTTATGAGGAAGACAGGGTTCGTTATTGTTGTGATATTGAGGGAAGTTCCTGGAGGCGTTACGGTTCTGCTTCTTTTTCAGGATCGCTTTAATTATCACGTGTTCGACTTTCCTGGTCTAGAGGATCAATTCAATGAATTTATTGCTCTTTACACCCTTTTTAATGCTCAACTTTCACTCAAACTCACTAAGTATGTTTGTCTTGATAGTTTCTGCGACACATTTGACAGGAACTCTTAGTTCTTAGAACCGAATTCTTGAGATCACCTCTCTTAGTTCTGCAGCGACCAGAATTTGAGGTTAGCTGTTTCCAGACTTACGCGTATGACGCGCCAGGGGGGGGCGACGCAGCGCATCGGCGCGCTGACCACTTCGCAGTGAGCGCTTGATGCTACGGGATAGATGGGTACCGATTGGCGCCGGGCGCATGTGTTTTGAGAGTTCTGTAGGATAACAGGAGGGTAGCTGCTGCTCTCAAACAGTCTGGTATACTCCCATATTCCCATATTTCTGTGCTCTGCCAAACACCAGCACGACCGCGCCGAGATACGCAGCGGCTGCGCACGCGCCTATAGCATAGGACGCCACTGCAGTGGTAGCACGCCTGCGAGCGTTGCAGTATCGTGGAGTCTCAACGCTGCCTACAGAACGTTTAATAGCTTATTCTGTACTCGTCCATGCTTTTGTGCTTTTCCAGGGATAGTGCCCAGGTATCGCTCTGTAGCTGGTTTATGGCTGGCGAAGGTGTTGAATGGGTTCGTGATGCCCGCTGCTCCAAATCGGTTGACGATCGAGCTCGGAACCAGCACAGTTCAATCAATTTAAACGAATTTTCAGTCTGTTTGTACAAGTAGTACAATAAGCCCTCCCTCGTTGCCATTCCCATGAACTGAATCATGTTACAGGCATCACTAAAACTTCTGTCTCCAAAGTCACCTCAAGCGCTGTTGGCGAGGAGTTTGGCCAACCTATGATAAGTATCACGCTCTCATGGTAAGTCAGTATGCATTAAAAACGCTGTTATTTTGAGGCATTGTAGACAAAGGTGGTGGAATGGTAAGTGTCGCCGCTTCCCAAGAGCACGATACGGGGTCAAATCCTGTGCCTTTTTAGACCAGGCCAACCAAGCCTGACGTTTGTCTGGGGTCTGTAGTCAAACATGCTAATTCAAGCTACTCTACACCCATAACCTGGTGCTGCCTAGGCGAAAACTGAGTAGACCGATCGTGCACTTCGACGGGCTAGTCCTGCGACACTACACCATTTTACTCGCACTTTGAGGTACTGTATCCCGCCTTCCTTCTTCAACTTGAAATAGTGCGAAATCTCTTACAGAAGAGGCAGCCTTCTTAGTACGACCTTCTGTATTTCAGCAATTGTGCAATACATATGAGAAGTGCAAGCTAGAGGAACTGCGTCCAATGGTGACATTTTACAAAGCCATAGCCTACTCTGGACTAGGTAAACCGTTGAAGGTAAGGGTATGGAATCGAGGATTTTGATGTATTGGATGGTGACGTTCGCATTTTTTTCTTAATGCTTTTGATTTAGGCAATGGCCGCTTTTAATGCAGCCGCCCGAGCTGTCACCGACGGGAACGAAGCACTTCTTATGGCGCTGGCGTCATTTGAAAAGAAGTCTGAGGAGATGAATCTCGGCGACTATTATGTCGTCGTAAGCAATTACTTCCTTAATTTCATTGTGTGAAACAATAACGACCAGGACACGTCCTGCCATCGGGAAATTTTTCGCCCTCCCTATTTCCTACCATCTTTCTATTCAAAAATTTTTCCAATCTTTCTTAGTTTTGCAAAACTTTTCAACCATTTATGACTTTTTTTGTCGAAAGTTTCTTTAATTTCCTACAAAAAACACTGCCACCGACCGGGCAGCGCACGTTATGCAAAAAAAAAACGAATGGGGATCGAGGAACCTTTTTCAAAAGACAATTGGCACCCCCCTCGTAGTGCCAAGTACGACGCCCATCGGCGGCATCACCAACGTAAGGACGTGCCTGATTACAACATTATAGTGTAAGAATGCATTATGGTGTAAAATGCTATTTTAGGCGTTACGATATCTTAACAATCATCGGCACAGCGAAGAAGTTATTGAGATGGCGCGAAGTGCCATAGCGTCGTTGCCACCGGGTCACAAATGCACAGTATGTTTTTTTGTCGCGTTTGGTGTTTTAACTGTTATGGCGCTTGGGCCAAAAATTACCTTTTTATTGGCATTTCATGAGTTCAAATGGTCTAGATTGAAGGTGCTAGACTTCTGGATTATGGTCTACTAATCGTTGAATTTCTAGTCTACCATTTACGCAACCCTCTTCAATCATCTGATCAACCAAGGAAACTGGTCTGACGCGTTGTTGAGCATCATACAGAATACGGTAACTTTTAAGGATTTCTTGACTACTGCCACTGTTCTCTGACTTTTTTGTGCACTTGGGCCGATTCGCGTCGCTAACTTTGTAACCCTCCTGGGGGGGGGGCAGGAGTGTTACAGGGCTTCTGTCTAATTCGTTCGCTGTGAGTGTCCACGAGTATTTCCTCATTGCCTCTTCTGGTCCGTATTTCGAGAAATAATAGGGACGAAAATAAGGGGGATGAGGGATGATAGAAGGAGGAAATTAATGGAAGGAAGGTGGAAAGGAAATTGAGGAAGCGAGATTTCACAATTTCCTTTCCACCTTCCTTCCATTAATTTCCTCCTTCTATCATCCCTCATCCCCCTTATTTTGTTGAACAGATATCCTGACACTGAACCAGAAGCCAAGTGGAGGGTGTGATTGTTCGTCTGCGCCGCCTGTTACAGTGACAGAGACCGTTTCTTTTTCACGCTCATAATAAGAAAACAGTAGATGACCGGAATGTCGTGTTTTACTCCTAAACTACGTTACTTCTTGTCGCTCACTTTTCTTCGGCCTGTTATCAGTTTCTTATTTTCAAAAAAGTCATTGTATCATCAGCTTTTTGACGCATATTCGTGTAGGATCCAGAAGTCAAACGAATGGCTCTCGGTGAGCTGATCAAGCGCATGTTGCACGCTAACGACTGGCAGTCCATCGTGGATTTGAATTATGGCAAGCTAGAAGAGGAGGTGAGTTTCAGAATGTTGAGATCTGATAGGGCGTGGGACTAGTAGTGGGCCACCAAAGTTCATTTTTTCCATCGATGAACATTGGCTCGCTGTCTCGAATGTTTCTCACCACCCTGCTCACATCCGCACGCGCTCAAGAAGCAACAGCTCCGAACCACCTATTCAAGCTGGTGTTTTCTTTCTACATGAAAAGGAACGATTTTGAAGCTGGTAAGTAATGTTCCAATTTGGAATGCGTGGTGTTTTTTTCGAGAAACATAGCTGTCATAGTTGAAAAGCCGAGTCAGCTAGGTAGTTCAGGAGGCAGAGGTAGCGAGTACGGACGACTATTGCCAGCGCGAAGTGCGCCTGAGGGGCTAGGCTGCCCCACTCTGGTCTTGTGCGCTACTCCAAGGCTTGGAAAGGGCAAGGGGCTAGTCAGCCCACCGTGTGCCCTTACCCTCGTAATAGCGAGCTCTGTCGTCTAATCCTGTTTACTCTTTGATATACCTTGTTTTAGCTGCACGCGCTCAGTATGAATACGCCTTTGTTCTGCGTACTCAAGCCGAACAGACACCGGAATTATTGCGGAAACGACGCGACGCACTTGCTGTAGCGTCTACCCTCCTGGATCTTTTACCTGAAAACGATCGATTTATATCGTTCCCATCTGAGGTAATTTATTTTCGTTTGCTGTTTCGAACCCTTCAGGGTAGTTCGCTAAAAAAACTTAGGCCCAATGAATGCATGTTGAGATACTGCTCTCATTACAAGTTCAGCTGCCAAAGGAAGCTCGGTGGCAGTGATGAGTTTAAGCGGCCAGGAAATAACCAAGAAGGTCGTGTGGCTATGAGTGACGTCATAGCTGATGAACTAAATATTGTCTCTCCAGAACGTACTTCTACCCAACATCGAATGTTCATCCTTACAGCGGAAGAGTGAGTGGTTCTTTCCGCTGATACCTCTTTGACATACTCATAAGTTACAGGCTGTGAAATTTTACAGACTTTGTGAAGAATGCGTGGTGGCGAGTGCACGTGTGGCTCTGTTGGTTACTGGAGAAGTTCCCCCTAGTGATCCGAAAGAAATAGTGGAAAAGCTCATCGCTATTAAAAACTATGATGTCGCGTTTGATGTTTGCAGGTATTCATTCATCTTAACAGGTATTCATATCGAAAGACGCATTTCTCGACTACCTAATGGGGTAGAGTTCCTTCCTGGTACAAGTCCTTCGGTCAGGAGTCTCAGGAGCGTCTCGAAAGTAAGCGACTGGGGGCTACGGTCATCATTACTGAAGGGACGCCACCCGTCGAAGTTGGCCCCACCCGGCGGGTAGATTGAAGCAGTGTGACAGAGTTGCGGTCTGCACAACGCTTCCAGCCCATCCTCACGTCCTCTGGCTTTTGTCACTGGTCTCTCACTTAGCAGCAGTGTCTCGCTCCTTGAAATACTTGTCCAATCAATCCTGAGGCCTCTTTCAGGGTGCTTTAGGCAGTTTTATCCTATTTCTTTCTTACTGGTGAGCCTAGCATCTGAAATCCTCACTTCCATCTGAAGTTAATGGACTGTAATCGCGGATTGTCATTTGGAAAAGCGCTTCAAACAATCTAGAAGCATCTATTAGCCTCATGTTCTTAATGCCTCCTTCCGCCACCCGAAACGCGAGACGCACATCACAGTCACGCCTACTTCAGTCATGCGTTAGTCGCACGCCCTATTTGTCTGCATTCCCTCACTCGTGGTTGACCTCGTACGGCGTGTATGTGGTGCATCAAATAGTGGGCGGAATATCAGCTTCGTTCCCTACCTTTCGAACGGGATGATGTACCGGTCTCTGTGCTGAGGGCCTTCTCGTCTCCACAGATGGACGATCTACAAAAAACTCGCAAATGAAACCTGTGTGTCCTTGATCTTGATTTCTTTATCTTCCCCTTTTTACTTCGGAATATAGCTTAATAAATATTGACTTCATTGAAGGCATTGCAATGTTTCTGTGTGCGATCTGCTTTGTGCTGTAACCCAAGATGCCATGTCGATAGATGCTAATCCACCCGACGTTTTGCCATCTTGGGGTACAAGCAAATCAACGACGCGCTGAGAAAACTGGGTCCAGGTACGCTCATTCTTTTAATATTCGAACCAGTCACCGAAACTCTGCTGTCTTACAAATTTGAAAGAGTTTTGGGGGAATCTGCTTTTATTAAAACTGGAACTCCTCTGCTGTGAGGACTAGAATAAAATCCACTGTCTACACTTTTCAGTAACCACTGGTCTGTAGTGCGTGGATTGCTGGCAGCTGCAGGACGTCTCTGGCCCCAATGATTCA